TAACAGTGCACTCTTTTGCTGTAGGCAATTCTTTTAAACCTCAGTCCACTACCATACCTAAGCATGTGCTCTTCTGTTTATGAGAGGTTTAATTGACTTACAGTTTTCCCTCATGCTTTTAAATGTCTTTGCTGGTTTGAGGCCTTTAGAGTGTAAGCACTAAAATCTCTCTTGGGATTTTAATGTAAGCTATTTTGAAAATCCTGCTTTGCAGCATTCTTTTCATTTGTCCGTGGAACACGTGGACCTGTAGGTTAGAATCCTTCTTAAGCATCTATGTTGTCTCAGGTGAATTTTGGATGATCCGGCATGGAGTGTTGATTGTACTACTTTTAGTTCAACATAACCGATGCCAAGGAGGTATCTATAGCTTCCTTTTCTGATGCGGCACTTCGAAGGTCATGAGATATCTCTGTTTTGAAAATAATTGCATGTTGTACAGTGAGTATGAAGTTAGATAAATCATGTCATCCACTCCAACTGCTTTTACCACAAAATAAGAGGTGTTTTCATGTAGATGACTATTCGATTTATCTATGACTTAAGTTTCCACTTTGATACAGCAGCAAAGACTCCGTCCGCCTCGGCCACCGCCTCCAAAGATACAGCGTTCCACTAGGCCCGTGAGTAGCTGGGAGTTTTGTTTCACTGCCACAGCTTAACACTGCCTGAATTGCTCTACTAGTAGTATTACTAAACCTTGGTAGTTTGGATTGTCAAACAAGCAATGTGTGAATTATGCACCTAAACTCCCTTCTTCTCTGCTGCGGCACAGCCCTGGGATCTGCATTTGTTCTGCTTTTCTTTGATGAGTTCTGCAGCTTTCAGTCAGTTCTGCAGGTAACTGATGCTGCTATTGCAATATTTGTTTTACTTTTGTGGTGATTTCTTGAACAGAACGTCTTGCTAGGCTGGGATAAGTTTTTAGCCAGTGAGTTTTTGAAGACTTGCACTAAACACAAATACAAAAGGAAGCAGAAGTCTGAAGAGATTCAACAAGTTCTACTTCAAATTAATTTGAGACACTTTATTTTTCACCATGGGATAGATGAGTGAATATATATAAAAAAAAAGCAAAGTCTGTATTTGGACAGTGGAATATTAATACCATATTATGGATGATATACATATATACTTCATGTTCATTTAAATTACCTGGAATGAAAAACGTTGGCCATAAGAAATGAGTCTTCTTCAGAAGAACTGCACAGAAATTGTTCTCAGTGTAACTCCTGTGTTAGGATGGGATACCTTATCTAAGCACTTCTTCATTCAAAGCGCTACTGTAGTCTGATTATTAAATATTAACTATACCAGATGCCTTTGAGAATGGAGACTGTACTGGGTCTGTTTCAGTGACTTCATACAGGAAAGTAACATCAGTTTAGAGGGGTGTTGTTTTTGCAGCAGTCTTGACAGATATTTGTTTCTATTCAGGACTTTTGCTTTATGAATATAATTTCACCAATAAGCAAAAAGACCTTACTCCTTGCTTCCTTACACAAGAAGGTGTGTAAGAAACACAGAGATGCAAGTTTTCAAATCTAATCTTGCTAAAACTTGTTACAAATGTGCAGTTTTGGATGAGCAGGCAACTGGTTAACAAGTGCACTTGGGTGTGTGTGAACTTTTGATCTTTGATGCATGTTCCTATGTTACATTTCAGTAGCATGTTTTTCTTTTCCCCTCTCTTTTTAACTCTGGGTGTTCAGCTTAACAGTCATTGTTATGGATTTGTGCACTGAAGATTTCTGTTTTCTGTGTTTAAAAGGTAGCATTGACTATGCTTGTGTGTGTTCTCTGAAACATAATTTGTATGGCAGGCCCTCCTGGATTCATTACACTGGGAACAAACTTTCCATGGTACAAAGGGGTTCCCATACTGCTTCTTGGTCCTCTTGTTTTGTGCTTGGCAGGAGAAGCCCCATGAGGGCTCACTGCAGTTTCTCTGAGGTTGCTGAACAATATTGTTCAGATTGAGTAATTTATTACATGAAAGTCTTGCTAAGACTGTTTAATCTTACTGTAGTGCATTAATAGTCCTCGCTATGATGTGTTTGTGTCAACTATCTTTGCTCACAATGTGATTGATAAAAGGTTGGAAATGTAATAAAAGTTCCTGTTGCATTCATCTTGCTGTGTCAGTAAGTGGAACAAATTCTTCAGTTGTCAAGAGGAAATTCAAGATAAATGTAAATTATTATAATCGCTCCCAAAACAATGCTTGTACCAAATGTATGTAAATTTGTTGTTGTTCTGAACTGTTATTTGGCTTTTAGTAGATGAAGCACATTTGTTGTGTGTAAATATTATTTTGTGCAAGCTGATTTTTCCCTCTTAGAGTCTTGGCATATATTGCAGAGGTGGGTATCAGCAAGTAGTTCATCCTAACATTTTACAGGAAGGCCTGAATGAGAGGCCAGCTCTCTCTGCTCCTCCAACCAAGTCAACATAATGCCAGAATTGCTGAGAAGTTGTTTTCAGGCTATATCTGTTACAAGAAGGAATCTGTGGGAATTAGTCCTTGCAGTATGAGTCATTACTAACAGTGAGAACAAAAACACAAACCAAAGAAGGTTAAAGAAGCAGAACAGATATGTTCTTTACATTCTGTTGTTCTGGAAATGAATTGTAGTGATATTGTGAGAGGGTGATTGTTTGTAATTAATAGAGATCTGTTAGAATTAATAGTAGCTGTTTGGAAACTTCATTCAATTAGCAAAAGTTGTAATATGATAATTATTCATAAAGTTGATAGGGACAGTAATAAGCACATTTAACCCCGTACTGAATGTTTCCCTTTATTCTCTAGGCTCTGTGCTCATATAATTGGATTTCTTTCCTACCTTTGCATTTGATATGCATTTAACCCTGCCTATTTGGCTAAAAATCCAGCAAGGAGTTGGCTTGATTCCTGATTTTTCCTTGCAGTCCCTGATGAACAATACTCTAAATCCTACTTAGCATGTCACCCTATGCTTTACTGGTCTGGTGACCCCCTGGAGCCATCCAAAATTTTGCTCACCACCATTGCTCCCCCAGGATATCAACCAAAAGGTGAAAGTGTTCACAGCATGATGACAGGCCAGTATTACACACCGTATTTCAGCTTAAATTTAATTAAACAAGTTTCTTTCTTCCTCTTTTTTTCTCCTTCTTGTTCTCCCCCTCCACCCAGTTCCTCTTGTTTCTCTCCCCCCCACCCTTGCACACTCTTTCTCTTGCTCACTCTCTCTGTTTTATCAGCCCTAATGAAGCAGTATTCCTCATCGATCCTGCTGATTGCCAGCCCATTCCTTTTGTTTGTTGGCACCGAGCCATTCAGCCGCACTCTGACAGCTCAGCTCGTCTAATTAGCTCTGTTGTTCTTTTCCCCATGTTTCACCACGTTGCAAGTTCAGTTGAAGTTGCCACAAACTTAATCCTTCCATAAATTCACATTCTTAAGCTGTCTTTATTGAAGAGAGGAAAGGCCTTGTGTGGGGACAGATCTTCAAGACCTTAACATCTGACCTTTGTATAAACTCTTTTTCCTAAGAAACATGGCAATACATCTCTGGATTTCTTCATCATATCTGCTCTACACCTTTTTCTTTGAAATGAAAATTCAATACAATGATCTTGCTCTTAAGTTCTGCATGCCATTGTGCAGTGTAGAAACAGTGCTCACAGCTTGGTGGCTTTTTCCTGGCAAGAGAATCTGAACTATATGTTCTTAAAAACGTTAGAAAAAAACAAAAAACAAAACCCAAGCAAGCAAACGAAAACAAACAAAACCGAAAAACCCAGAGGTGAGGGCACAACCAATGCTGTCATTGCAAACAAATTCATCAGTCATCCAAAGAGTACTTGGGTTGTAGGCCTGTAACACCTTTTATATTTGGCTATTAAAGAGATCACAGGCCCAAGAGGGCAGAAGTTGGGTTGTGTTCCTTACCTTACTGAGAGCTTTGGAGATTCCTGTTGGTTAACATTCAGTGGAGCCAGCAAGTCAGACTCCATTCCAGGTTGGGTAGTACTTTAAAGGAAAAAAAAAAAAAAAAGCAAAAAAGCAAAAAACTGGATAGTTGGCTGTACACCCTGGCCCTGCAATTGTTCATTCCTGCATTTGGCTCAGAAGAATAAATTCACCAACAGGATTACTCATTAGTATAGGTAGGCACATGTGTAAATTTTGCCCATTTAGTGATCAGCTGTGCTTATTCCTTTCCTTGAAGTTTAGCTTGTTTGCTTGTGGAGTTCACGTGGGTAATTTCAGCTTGATTTCTGAACATCAGAAGATAATGGAGATGTTATGTGCAATTCATCTGGCAGCAACATCACCTTCCACAGAAAACGTTTGAGTGTTATTGCAGACAACAAAAGATACACTAATATAACCTCAGTGATGTCAATGATAATGTGTCTGAAGGTATTCCGATCAGCTACTGGATGGAACCATATTTTTAAAGAAAAATTTTATTTTTATTTTATAATATTTACTCTTCAGTACAATTTTTTTTCAGTGCTCACTTTTACAGAATTACTCACTTGAGGAGCTGGCTACTTATGAACAGGTGGACGAAAGGATTATGATGTCAGAGCTGAACAACAATATTCAGTATAACATGCAATGCAGGCTTTTCCAGTTTCACTCTGTCAACTCACTCTTTTAAATGAAGCTTACGTTTAGGAAACCTTTTTGTCAGAAAATTACCCTGTACTAAACAGGACAGTTGAGCAAATTTTCACTGACTGGCTAATAGTCAGTGGCAAGCATATATGTGTCGTTTGCAACTCAAAACATGTGGGTTTTTGGCCTTTAACAAATTGTGGGACTATGTAGTTTACATCCAAACCAATGGATTTGTAACATTATTGAAGCATAAAAGTTTAAAACTGACTGTGAACAAGATACCTTTCAGATAATGGTAGTTATGCATATTTTGCCATTTATGTCTGTTGCATGACCAGCTTTTGAAGTATCTGATGAAGTGTGTCTGTGTATGTGTGTGTAATAGGTTCGTCCTCCACGACCTCATGTTGTTAAGAGACCCAAGAGCAACATTGCTGTGGAAGGACGAAGGACTTCCATTTCCAGTCCAGAACAGTAAGTACTTTGCAAATCTACTGCTCTGTTTCTCTCTAGTTGTGTTGATGTTAGCAGACTGTATATTCATAATTAAGAAAGAAAAGAAAGAGAAAAAAACAACTACAATTCCATAATGGTCTACAATCCAAAGTTTTTCATTTTTAGAGCATTTTAGAGGAGCAGTGAGAAAACATGCACTGGCACTTTCCAGATGTCCAGCATTGTGCCAGCATACTCTTGGTACAGGAAATGACACTGGAACTGGACTCGGGGTGACAAGATAGTTGCACTGATTTGAACTGTCACAGAGATTTCCTCTCAGTGATCTCTTCACTGCAGCACAAATTGCATATGTCATAGCCACTTGCTTATGTTCCAGTTTGTGGTGGCCTTATTCTAAGTGAAATGCTTTAGTTGATGCCCAAGATTCTAGGATATTTGTTGTATCTGAAGACAAGAAAATCCCCAAAAAAGAAAAGTGGTTAGTTTCTTTAAGCACTCCTTTTCCCACCTGGGTGCCACTGCTAGCACCGTTATTCATAAGGAAAGGAGAGTTGGAGTTTGGGTATTTTCCCCTTTCCAAATTATATGCTTGGAGCTTCTTTTCCCAGTCATTTTAGAATGGAGTGGAATTCTGAGTTTTGGCTAGAAATGAATAGTAACTTTAAATTCTACAGCTTCGTTTGTTCATTTTATAATGGAATTTGGTTGCCCTCTTGTGGAGTAGATTGCAAATCCTGTCAGAGGGCGGTTATGGGGTGGTAGCTGTCTGCACAAAATTATTGGAATTTCTTTAAAAGTTTTTTTCCTTAATATTTAATATGACTCAATGCATAGTTGATATACCAGGTGGAAGATAACTGAGTCAATTTAATCACTGTGTATGTTGCTCATGAGGTATTATGCATGTTTTGATCCAGAAGCTGCTCGATATTCCATTGTGACTTCCTGATAACATTTATTTTCAGTTCCTGGCAGTGTCAGATTCAAAATAAAGAAGCATGAATGACAGGCATAATACTCACACTAGTGCTAGTAATATGCTAAATTACAAATATTATTTTTCTTGATTTTAATTGATAGCCGTTAATTTTAGTGAGTCTGTACATTTCAGCTGTTTTCACACATTTTATATATTTTTGGGGTGGAAATTATTGGTGGTAATCTACCAGAGATAATGATGGTTCCCTGTAGATATAAATCTGATGATGTATTTTTCTCTATGCTCATTTTAGTACTGAGAGATTTTTCCATCTTATCAATGTGAAAGAAAACCAAGTAATGTTCCTAGAACCACTGGCACTTGCTGTGCAGTACCAGGACTTGGTCTTTTGCTTGCCTGCCCCAGCTTCAATATTTTCTAGTTCAAATTCAGTGGCACAGCAGCTACTGATGTATTTTCATCCTTTCCTTTCATAGCTTCAGGTGACAAAACATATGTGTACAAAACTCCTTCCAGACAGTTAATTGTAGAATATTGCAGCCAACCAGATATCCTGTAATGCGCGTGGTTAATTTTGATAAAAACAAGTTAGAAAGGCAGGAGGACGAGAACTATGACTTGGGATGTACAAGTGGAGGAAATGTAACCTTCAAGGCACTGACAGATACAGATCTTCAACACAGAAGGTAATATATGGGACTTTGAATTTCTGCAGTTGGCAAAATCACAAGCCAGCCTGAATTTGTTGTGATGGCACAAATATCTGAAACATCACGTAAATGGCTCGTAGTGCCTTTGAGACAGGGAAAGAACCACTTATCGACCTTCTTCCTTCCTGTTTACCTCAAAATGATATTTTGAATGAACAAAATGTATTTTTTAAAAATTAATTAAATATTATAATGACATTTTCCACAAACACTTTTTGCTATCCCTTTACAAAATAATTTTCGTTTATTGTTCTAAACTAAAAATATAACACCAGTTCTATCTTTAAAAAACGTGCATTATTTTTCTCCCTCTTAGATCATACTGTAATGAATGAAAACAGTACAATTTCTATTTTTGCTGTTGTAACTTGGTAGCATTCAAGTATTCATACTGTAGATCAGAGGAGATTCCGTGAAAGCCGCGGCAGCACTGAGAATGCTTTCTCTTGACCTGAACTTAACCAAAATATTTAGCTTAATTGCATTGGTTCCAAAGCTAATTATTAGCCAGTTATGATCAGGAGCTCGTATGTAGGCTCTGCTTGTAAGGAGAAGCATCTGCTCCGAGAGAAATTTCTTTTTTATAAACTAGCTTTACATTTTTGGTCTTGAATTGATTGATGATGTGAAAGCTTAGAGCCGTTTCCCAGGCTGTGATCACCGCTCAGACTTGGGCTTGCATCCTGCTCCTGGCTGCTGGGACGGGGTCCCAGCGCTGTGGCACAGATCACAAGCAACTTTGTTTCAGTGCAGCTTCCTTTCCTTCCGTGATGATGCCTGTTATTTCTGAACAGTAAGCCATCATGTAGATGTCCTTTCAACTGTTAGATTTATTAATGCATTTCTTATGTTACATTGCTACAATATTAGCAAATTTGCATCTTAAGTTATTGGAGTCAGTTTTTTAAATCTGTGCAGAAGAATATTATTGGGGCATATATGTGCTCATTTTCTAACGAGTCTTTGATTAAAATGCAGGAGGGTGGGAGTCTTGTTAAACCTTCACATTTAGAAGAGCTGGTGGAAGAGTTATTTTTTCCCCCATTACAATTTTCAGTGATTTTTTTTTCCATTTCAATAGAAACGTGGTGTTTTCGTTTTGTTTTGCAATTAGATAAAAAAGCAAGGTTTATGATGTACAAAGATTCTTCCAAATTGCCATTAAATCTAAAATGTATTGTTTAAAAAAATAATATTAAGCAGGAAGAACCTGAGAGCTCAGAAAACACAGGATTACCGTTTGAGGCAATATTAAACATGTGGAAATATCTCCTTAAACACAAATTAGCTGTTCATAGAAATAAGGTGTTGCGTTTTTAACAGATAAGCAGTTTTTCAAGAGCTCTCTTTTACACCACAGCAAGATTTCCTATTAAGTGTAGAATAGGCTTCCAGAGAGCTCTAGGATCTGTTCTCTAAGTACTGGCTTACTGAGGAGCTGGCATCTAGGGCATGCAGAGTGGGAGGAAATTAAAATAGGAAATCAGAGGGTCAGGCTCACAATTAACAGCATGTCAAAAGGGTCTTGGGCTGGCTAAACCTGTGTCAGTGCTGCAGCAGTTCATTATGACTTTCCAGAACTCCTGTAGGACTTAGAGAAGCTAATGGTTTTCTCTTATATCATATGAATGAAATTAGACTGCAGTGCAATAGTAGGTTATTACACTGAATTTAGCATGAAGTCAGCATGATGGCTGTGTTAAATGATACAGGCTCATAAAGTCCATTAACTTCCAGTTGATGTAACCAGGCTCTCGAAGCTCTGCCACACAGAATTTGTGTACTTGATGCTTTTTAAGGCATCACTTCAAGCAAAGGTCTCTGCTTAGGAAAAAGCTAAACCAACAAGTACTCATTTGAACAAGGTTGGCTGGAATCCAAAGGACAGTCCTGTAGACTGTAGCAGATAGATTGGTTGCATGGCTTTGATTCTTCTGCCACAAGAAAATTGATTTATAAAAAGCTACATTCAATAAAGGTGGTGCCAAGAACACAGATGGCCCAGCAAAAGGACAGCAAGTGGGGAAGATGCATACTGAGAGCAATCGTGCTCTTTGTACATGGCCAAGCAAAAACCTTTGGGAGCCTTCCCAGATTCCTTCCTGTCTCCCACTTTTCCTGTAGGATATTTTGCAAGAAACAGTTCTGGTGCTTATCTCTGCCATCTACCTACCAAATGTGTGCAGCTTGCCTTTGTAAAGAGAGACGGCTATGATATCTGTAGGGGAAATTGGTGAATGTGTACTTATTATTGAGAAATAGGATGAAAATGTGAGATGGCTTTGTAGAATCTTGCATCTAGATCTGTCAGAGCAGGCAGAGGTGTCATCCAGCTTGTTCCCACTTTAAGTCCTTTGTTCCTTTTTTTAACTTTGTAGAAAATGCATAGAAAGTTGTGTCAAACTCTGAAACAGTTACCTGCCCTTACTGCTCATAGTGATCACAGCTTGTGATTTCTGTTATCTGATTGGATTACTCATGATATAATTTTTTAATACATAAAAATACGCTTTATGCTAATATTTTAATTCATCCTGGACTGTTCTGCTTCTATGAAGATTCACAGTATGCAAAGTGTCACTTTAAAAAATAAAATATTTTACTGTTCCTATTAGCTCACGCTCAGGTGTGCTGAATATGCAGGAAGGAATTCCAGGATAGGTCTGTGCTTTGTTCGTAGTGAAGAATTACGGGGCAATCCTCTCAGTCCCAAATCTCTTATTTCATACTGGCAAGAAAAACCAATGCATCCAAAACCCTCATTCTTTTCATTTTACTGTCTAAGAGGGACAAATTCCTTAATTCCCTGCAGTACCGGCACAGGTATTCTTTAAAATATAAAGAATAAATCCTTCCTCAAATTTGGGAAGCCCTTTTTAGGAGAACAATGGCATCAAGTCCAACATTACTCCATGTATCATCATCTCTGTAATCAGGAAAAAGGAAACAGTTGATAAAATACACAAATTTATTTTTTTCATAACTGAGCTATCTTTTAAAATTATTACAGAGTTCTCCTTATTAATGTCCAAATCCTGTACTCACATTTTCAGTATGTATTTTTTCTATCTCAAGTACATTTAGGTGTCAATTAAATTTGAAATATCTACATTTGTCAGCATTTCATTTTTGGCCAGTGTGATGTGCTGCTGATTTGTCCATGCATCCTGACACATGAAAAAAGCTCCTGAGATGCAGATCTTCCTCATTAAAAAAGAAACCCATACTATCATAATGGTACGCAGAGCCATGGAGCGCATCCCCAGCTTTATTGCACTGTGTTTCTGACATGATATTTAAAAAGGAACAGCCACGGCTGTCAGTACTGTCACATGCTAGTGCTAACCGAAGACATGTTAAACTAAACATTAGAAAGAGATCAGCAAGTCATCTGCATGGTAACTCAGCTAAGAGATTAGGTAGGCAGGAGCTGGTGCAGTCATGTGGAGATGATGAGGGTTGTAGCTGTGACGGACACATCCTTTCTTCCCTCTAAGGCTGCAGCAGCGCCTGCCTTGTAGCCGGGCTTGCTGTGACCTGCCTTTCAGAGACAGCTCTTTGTGTATGAAATCCTAGCAAGTGGTGGGTGGCAGACTGCAGGAGAGTTGGCGAATTGGGTTAATGAGGGAATAGGTACTTTTTTTTGGATTCCACTGCCTCAAGCTAATAAAAAATTTAAACTTGGACGATTTTAAACTGTTCATCCCTTATCTTTGGCCAAAATCTGTTTCAGAGAACACTGACACTGAAGCTGAAGGGCTTTCTTTTCTTAATTAGGAAATCCCACTTTCAGGAGTCTTGCAACAGCAACAAAAGCGGTGCATATTATCTTGCTATAGACGTGATCCTCTTGCACTGATCTGCACTGAGGGGCAAATGATGAATTAGCAAAAGAAATCTTATTTCTTCAGAGCTAGTTTTGTGCATACACACACACAGACACAATACGTTTGAATTTGGAGTGGTCTGAAGGCAAACAAAAGGTATCAGAGGCGGTGCTGCGAGGGCAGCTGCAGCCCAGATCTGCTGTGTGCCATCACCAGACGTACGGCCTGGCAAGGATACGTGGGCATTCAGCATCGCTCTTGATTTCTGGAAAACAATGCTTGAGTCATATTAAATGTTATTTTACTTTGCAAAGAGAAAAAGCTCTGTGTGTGTATGTAAGTTCAAAAAAAATCTATAAGATTCTAATATAAATCTGTATACTCTTTAAGCATCTTTGCTTTCTAAAACTGTTTTAGATGGATTTTTTAATGCAAGTTGAAGCCTTTAGATAGCAGTCTCCCTTTTAGCAAAAAAAAAAAAAAAAAGAAAAAAAAAGTTAAAAAAAAAATGGCAATTTTTTCCTAATGCAGTGGCAGCTCGCTCTCTTTCCCTGGATGCCTATTATAGCATGAGAGGAAAAGAACAGCTATGCAACAGCTTTAATTGGAGTACCACAGACTATGATTTAACACTATCAGCTGCATCTGCTGCCACCGCTATTTTAGACTTTTTATTAATTAGCTCTGACCTGATTGTGAATAACATTTATTCACGGTGGCAGTTTGGGTCCCCTTAAGCTGTCGCTCGCAGTGTCCAACTTCTCTATTTCTGACCTGATGTTTGGGAGTGTTTCTCAGAACAGTTACATAGTTATTTAACAATTAGATCAAAGAACTAAGAAACACTGAAGGCTGATTATGAATACAGGAGCAACTATATCTGTATCTGTACTATAAAGGTAACAAATCAAATTCCTTTTCTTCCTGTGCTTTTGGTCCTCTTCTGCAGTGTATTCTCTTCTTATCTGTGATGTACATAGCTGTAAGATATATTACCATTGTTCTACGTTGCTTACAGGGTCGTGACCTATCCTTTGTTCCTCACGATGAGCCTGATGCTGCTTACATTGAAGTAACAAACTTTATTGTGGACCTCAGTATTAGCAAAACTAAGCTCCCATCTGTTGTCAATCACGATGTACGTTTTGATTCAGTACAATAGCTGGGATATTCTCAGTGATATGTGACTGACAAAATGTTGTGGGCAGAATTGTGGATTTCTGTATTGGCTTCTATTGCAACAGGGATCTGATTGCAGGTCTTAGCGCCCTCCCAACTAGATAACCCTAGAAAACCCAAGGTTTTTAGAAGAATTTTATTTTCTGCCTAGAAAGTACAGCTCAACACATGTCTGCAGAGCTCTTTGCAGTGGCACTCAGTCACGTTCAGAAATTACTTAGAGCCTATGAATCACTTGGTTTTCTCTCTCCTCTGCAGCTTGCAATGTGACAACTTGATAACTTCCTTTTCTCTCCCTGTTTCCCTCAGCCTTGTAAAGCCTATGCGACACTATACAGTCTTCCTCTCTGAGGACTCTTCTGATGATGAATTTCAGCAGGAAGAGGATCCTGTATCTGGCTTCTCTGAAAACTTTTTCTTCTCTGCTCCTTTTGAATGGTCTATCCTTTATTCTTTCATTGTATTAATTCAGTCTTTAAACAACAGTTTTTGCATTGGTCAGGGTGCCTGCTTCTTGCAATTTTGGAAATAATCTTGCCATCTTTGTACAACACTTGATGAATGTTCTGCATTTCTCCTGCTTGCTTTCATATTTAAAGGCATGCAAAAATATGCTTCTGCATGAAACACTATGCAGTAATGCACAGTTTATTGCTTTACATTCAAGTTGAGCTCTGTAGGAGGTTCCTTCCACTTGCCCTTTGTTCCAATCTGCTGCTTGTGTTCCTGTCCAAACCTTCTGCCATTCTTCCTCGTACAGTGCTAACTGTGCTTTTTGGATTGTCCTGTGAGCTTTATTTCAGTGCAGTCATCAGCTTTTCCAGTTCCAATTGTGTGTTCCCTCAGGTACCAGCTCCTCGGTGACTCAGAGCAGTCACCATGCAGAGGTCCTACAAGGGACATACAATTATACAAGAAATAGCAAGCTGTTTGTTTGGTTTGTGTGCAGGGTTCTTCAGTGTTTTGGTAATTTTGCAATGTGATTTCATGCTTAGCAGATGAGCATGCAGAATGTGAGAGATTAAAGATACAATCAAGATTTGCAAGATCATTGTTTTCCTGAGGACGTGTACCGTCAGCTGTCTGGTACTTACATTATTACATTCATGTTTTGCTAGCTGATTGCCTACTACTTATTTGTTGATGAAGGAATTAAGGACTTTATAAATTTGCTTGATAAGGATGTATTATGGAAATATGGAAAGAAGAGGAGAGTTCTTCCGTATTATCTTTGGCTTTGGAGGTCTCACAAATAGTTTCTTTTAATTAAACCTTGTTTAAATGTCATGGTAAAATTGACTGCCAGTCAAATGCCAATCACTGCAGATATGTATGTCACTTCTTGTTATTAATTGGATGTGCATTATGCTGCTGTTCTCTGTACACAGAACCTATATGCAAATCTGCTGTTGTTCATTTCTTTTTGCTGAGGTATGTACAAGAAAAGCATCTTGCTAACTCGGCCTTGGCTGTAAATGTAAAATAGGTGTCTCCATAATGGATTGTGGTGTTTCTTGATAACATGACACCAGTACAAACATTGGAACTATGCACAGTGTTCCCAATTATTGCAGGAAAACACTGAATTATGTTTTGTGCTGAGTTAGCTTGAATCTGAGAACGTAAGTGGTTGCAGAACACGAGCACTTTGTGGTGTGCTTGCTCTGACTTCCTGTGTGCAAGGCCTGAGCACAGGAACGGCCATCTGCCTGGGTGGGAAGGGCCAGGCTGTCACAGCAGAGAGCTGGCATTCAGCTATTCCTGCTTTGGGAGACTTGGCTTATCAGTCTGTCTGTAACTGCATCACCACAGCTTTCCTCCAAGTACTTCCATCTTCCATTTTTTTTCTTCTGAAAACTCGTTGAGTGCCCAAGTCATCTTTCTATGTCTGCCCTCAGTCATTTTGCTCACATGCCTGCTGTTCATGAGATGCTGTATGCTGCATTTTCCTACCCAAAAACAGTTTGTTTGAGCCATCCAGCTCCTTGGTAAATAGTTGTTTTTAAAAATAAGAGAAAGAGAGTCATTTGCAGCATGATTTTTGTTTTCCTGTCTTGTAGGCCTCAGCCATACCGGGCGCTGAAAGAATCTGATAGTGCTGATGGGGAAGAGGCTATCAGTCCAGAAAAGGCAAAAGAGCCTCTGCCTCCAAGCCCTCTCATCTCCAGCAACGCCACAGAAATCAACCTCCTTGAAGACATTTTCCCTAACTTAGAAGTAAAAACACAGCCTCAGACTCTCAGCCAGGCTAAGAGCCTGGAAGACCTGCGGACTCCAAAAGAAGAGGCAGATCAGCGATGCACGTTTGATTACCAGGTTTGGACAGAGTTCTATATGCCCTGGGGACATTTGCAAAGAACTAGGGTTGTCTGTCTTCCATTATTCCTTGAATAATATTTAGTTAGTATTGAGTAGGTACATCCATTTGTCCGTGTGTTTCAACGTTCATTTCTGAATTAAGAAATTATTGAAATGAGACTCAGTTGACGGATAGTGGTTTTTTTCATTAAAACATCAGTTGGACAATCTAGATTGCTGAAGAGGAATATTCTTTGAAGAACTTCACTGAATATATACAGCTGAGAAAGTGGCAAACTGGCAGGAAGGAAAAGGATGCCATTTCTACCTTAAAGTAATATTTAATTTAGTGTTATATCCAGATATTTCATTTAACAGCTTTTGCTGTACAACAATTCAAGTTTTTCCACTTCTGTACCCTAGATATAGATCCTTACTCGGCTAACAACAAATGCCACAATATATCACAGCTGAACAACTTATTAGAGGCAGAGCTGTAATTAAAACTGTAGAGTTCTGCTTTCCTGCCTGCCCTTCTTGGCCATATGCAATTGTCCCTCTCCTTTCAGTGTTCACACTGTGGACAGATCTTTGTCCACTCATTGCTGAGCAGCCTGTCTTCAGGCTGATCCATGCTGGGAGGAGATCAGTGAAAGTTAACATTGTTTTCTTGCAGAGAATGGATCTTGCTGGGTCTGAGAGGAACAGGATTGTGCCACCAATGAAGCTGTCTCACCATTACAACAAGCTGTGGAATATGGGTCATGATGACATGGCTATTCCTACCAAGTACTCCCAAAGCTCACCAGAAAGGCCCCTGACTGCACTTGGCAATGTACCGCCAATCACAAGGAGACCCCGGAGCAGAGACAGCATTCTGGCTTCTGCAGAAAAGGATGACTCAAATCCTGCTGCTCAAGGGAATATCACCATTCCTAGGCCACAGGGAAGAAAGACTCCTGAACTGGGGATAGTGCCACCACCGCCAGCACCCAGGGCTTCCAAGCATCAGACTCCAACTGGACCAACAGAAATTCTCAGTGCTCACACTACAGGATGTAGCCAGTTGGTTTCAGATCTTATCCCAGAGCCCTTAGGAGTTGCTAGGTTGTCCTTAGAGCCTGAAGTCCAGCAGTCTGTAAATTATTCCTGTTGTTCATCTCAGCTTTTGTCCAGTGCAACCAGCACTGCAGAAATGCTCCAACCTGTCAGGGTGAAGACAGATAATACAGGTAATGAAAGTGACTACCTTCTGAATCTGCTGGATCCATTAAAAACAGCCAGCTGGCAAAGCAGTGGCCCCCAGCAAGGTTCCTGCAGCCTGCAGAGCTCAGCCACTCCACCTTCTGGAGCTGGCTTTGTATCAGTGGCAAGTGACTTTGTGCCTCCTCCAGCTGCACCATTTGTCCAGTCACTCAGTTATCCTTCCTCAGCACTGTCACCTTTTTTACAGGCATCTCCTAATCCATTTACACAAACGGTGCCAGGACCCCTTTCAGTGTCTCTTGTTAGGCCCCCAAGGGGCTCTTTCACCCCCACATTAGGTCATGCTTATAGTTCTAGCTTCATAACACCTAATTCTAGTTTCTATCCACCACACAGACCTCAACCAAACATTTCAACATTGTCCATGCCTAACTTGTTCAGCCAGGCTCCAGCGATGTCACCAGCTAGCTCCTTACTGCTGCAGAGCCACAGCTCTTCTCCAGCAAGCTCTCTACAGCCAGCATGTTTAAGTGGTCCTTCTAAAACCAGAACATTACAGGTGGGCAAGTCCAGTTCCAAGGTAGATACCAAACAAGCACTAGCTCTTCTGTCTAATGAACCCCCTTTGATCCCTTCCAGGCCAGCTAAGGGCTTAGAGTCAGTGTTACTGTCCTCAAAACCTGAGGAGACAAAAGATCCATTTGAAGATTTGTTAAAAAAGACCAAGCAAGATGTGTCATCCACACCAGGTAAGGTTGAACAGCTCAGAAGGCAATGGGAAACCTTTGAGTAATGATCCCAGTGGTCTTTTGATGGCCCTTTGGAATTGACAGGATGTTTGTGTTTTCTTTTTGAGCCAGCATACAACCAAGCATTTCTTTTATGGCTGCAGGACCATTGCCATGCTGCAATTCACATGACTGCTTTTTGCCCAGAATTTGTTTTACTTGGGAGTTCCCATGTTGTTCTGATCCCTGCAACTGTTTCCTCACTTTCTGCCACTAAATGCACTCATGACTCTTGCGCTGATCAAAGCATGAAGGTGGTTGGTTTGGATTTGATTTGGTTTGGTTTTCCACACATAGCTTGTCAGTCAGTACTACTGAAGCAGAATTTACTCCATGTATTTTCAGCCCTTAGTGCAGCCAGCAGCATGACATAGCACACCATACTAGAGTTTTTTGTTGCCTGTCTGAATGGTGTTCAACTCAGTTTTTCCTGTGTTGCATACATAGCTATAATATTTTGCTTTCCCGTGTGGAGTGCAGCAAACAAACCCAGACTTACGGGCTGTACTGAGTTAATAATCCATTAGGTTCCAAGTTTGTCCTGTCAGGCATTCATTTAGGTCATACTATTGGGTGAACTTTTGTTGCAAATTTTTCATTTCCCTCCTCCAGTGTGCTGACACTGAGAGGTAATAGGGACCTCTGGTGTAGAATTGTCATAGTTCTTTGTTACAACAAAACCATAGCACAGAGCAGTTGCTCAGGGTTTGGTCCTGCATCCCTGTTGGGAAACTGGAAACACCAGCAATTGATTTTGTTTGTTTGTGTTTGTTTTTCTACTTTTTTGTTGTTGTTGTTTAATTATTTTTTTGTTAAGTATATCAGAAAATAGAGTCCATAAAGAGTATCCTAGTTCTTACATATGTGTATGTTAATATTATATATAAACATTATAGATGGCAGTATATGAATGGGATGTAACAATGTCTTGATTATTTAAAAAAAAAAAAGAGAGAAAAAATGGAGTATAAAAGTCCATGGCTCATGAGTTCGAGTTAAATGCCAGTGTACTGACAAGATAGGCCAAGTGCAGCGAGATGAAAGCTGCAGTGTTTGTCTGTACAGACAGAAATCAGGCTCAAATGGAGCTGAGTAAGTAAGGTAATGCTGGAAGGCCAATCCCTGGCAGCTGCCTGTCACTGCTGGACTTCAGATGTGCTAACTGCTACCTTGAAGCAGTGGGATTTCATTCTGGTCTGCAAGGCTCTCCACTCATTCAGCCTGTCTTAAAAACCACAATCCTTATCCTGCTTTTGATGAGAACCATTTGCTGGTGTAACGAGATGCTAACTGGACCATGAAAAGGACTGTGAGGTCACAAAGTACAAAATTGTAATGGAAAAGTTAAAGGGTACGTCCATTCTGATTTTCTAAGACACTTATTTATGGCAATAGTATTCTCAAGAAGTTTCATCTTAATCTTAGCAACTCCTTTAAAACCTGCTGTCTTTGCAGTGATCGTTTCTGTTTTACTTAAGTGGTGCTTTTTTTGAATTTGTTTTGTATTTGGGCAGAGTCACATTTAAAACATTACTCCATCGAGGTAATCACATCACCATTAAGCCTTTGATAAAGGAAATCATTTTGAACATATGGGGAAATTCTTGTAAGCTTTATCTGAATTATTTCCAATGTATCTATTTTATTCATATAATCTTGGAGGTTTTCTTACTCTAGTGTATGAAAATGGCTGTCTATGCGTTTGAGTCTGTGCAATACAAAAGAGAAATACTCCTAATATCTGAAATGCAAACAGTTTGAGAAAGACCATAGTGTTGCATCAATATTTCTGTAAAGCACTGTTACTCTTACAAGCCATTCAGTTGAATTTGTATTTTCTTTTTGTGCTGGAAGACAGATGGTTTTAGTATTGCATAGTAAAATATTTAAAGTCTAAGACAATAGCTCCATTTCGTTTTATACAAACATTTATATACATCTAGTCTGGAATTTGCAGATTTCCTGTAGTGTGAGTTAGATGGGAAAAAAAACAACTTCCTCACTTGTGATGGATGCATACAAGCACCAGTGCGTAGCAGATGATGTGCCATTTGAATTTTGCATCTTTTTGTGTTTGTTTTTTCTCCCTTTTTCTTGCCACACACTGATTTTTTTCTCACCTACAGTGAATGGTCTGTGCTGCCTGCATTTTTTCTGCTTTCTGCGTGTGTGTGAAAAACTCAAACAGGAGATTGACATCTGCTCCATTTCCTTTCTGGTTCGGAGGTGGTTAGAGTCTGTCAGTAACAAACAACTGCCATTTTTCGGGGAAAAGTAACATCCCTTTACCCGACCGTAGGAATGGTTGGTTCAGTGACACTGCAGAAGGCAATGGGTGCAGCAGCACATCTTTTGTTAAACAGGAATGTGCGACGTGCTGCCTTCAAAAGAGCGCAAATAAATGATGGTTGAATGTTTCCCAAACTCTGTCCATATGCACGAGAGGATTTATGCTAGTTTATTTGTAATTTTTTAATGTGTTTTGTGCTTTTTATATGCTTACCCTGTAGGCTTTCTGACCAAAGTGCTTTTTCCAACACTGGCAACTTTCAATTGCTTAGTAGTGAACACAAAGCCTGTTAGCTGCTGCTTCTTACAACATCCAGGTTTGGAAAAATCTGTTTCACTTTGCTTGTGACTGTTGGAGGTTAACAGATGTATGTATTTTTTTTTAAATCTCTGCACTGTGAACCGGTGATGACAAGAGCTGCTCTGGTCCCCCAGCGTCCTTCAGGAATTTGTGGCAATGTAGGAGATGAATTCCCACCCTGGGAACTGCCTGGTTCCACCCCGCTCAGCTCTGTGATAATCCCGTGTCCATGTTTTCAAATGGCGCAGTGGATTGGCATCATAAAACAAACGTAAGCATGTCATTCATTGTGTAGCACTGTAAAATTAATTGCTTAATAGAGTTAAACATTTTGGCAGACTAGGGGCTTTATGTAATCTCACCACTCTTTTAATGGATACATAAAACTGAAGCAAGGGCATATGCCTACAGTTACTTAATTTTCTGTGGAATGTTTGCTTAAGTTGCCAGAAACCGAGTATTTTCTCAGAAAGAAAGATTAAGAATTGTCTTCTCAGGAACATGCACCAATTTTTTTCACATTTTATAACTTAAATCCATTCCCTCTTGGCCCATTGCTCTGCAGCAAGCATTTTGATTATCTGTCTCTGGTTTCAGGCTCACCTGGTTGTGTTTATTGCAGCAGTTACCTCGGTGCCAAAGTGGTTGTTACACCCCATGATGCTGATATGTTGCTGTTGCATGGAAGCAAAGTGGATGTGCAGTTTAGTTGTGTCAGGTGTACCTCAGTGGCTCTGGGTGTTCCACTGCACAGGGACACTTACAGTACCAAGCAGTCAGTGCAGCCGTTTCAGTTATAGTCATTTATTTCCACATTCTAGCCTCATTTCCAGGTGCTCCAGTGCAGGCTGCTCACTGTGAGCTCTGTCCATTAGCAGCTCTCCTGCCAGGAATGAGCTTGCAGCTGTCCTGCAGCTGGAGCAGGGCTGCCACCAGCAGCTCCTGTGGCACAACTGTGGAGCGAAGTTCCCAAGACTGCACGGGTAAGCGGTGTAGGGTGCAGCTGTACCTCTGCCTGAGCCCCTTGTCCTTACACAACACATCTCTGCATCCATCCCTGTGGTGCACTGGCTGAGGGCAGGCATCAAATCAAGGGCCCAGCTGGCCCCACCTCCAACTTCTGCCTCTGGCCCTGCAGTCAGCAGAGGTCTTCAGACTCAGGAGGTAGGAAAGATCTGTGAAGTCTTTTTACAGAGAAAATGTTATTCTGAATACCTGAATGTGAACTTCCTTTGACATTTAGTCCTGGCTGTGGGCAGAATCTCTCCAGCCACATTGGGTCAGATGATGTGGTAAAGACTGAAGTGTGGTCCTCTCTGTTTTTTTCCCTTCTGCTGGAGAGTGCTGTCCCCCATTTCTCTAGAAGAGAGTTTTTGCTGCTGCAGAAATCTGTCCTGACTTAGGCTGTTACATATATCAGGGCTCTAAACACAGGCTGATTTTGTGTCTTTGCTCATAACTGTACATGTGGGTAGTATCACTGATAGCTCTGCTCAGGCAGTACAGTGTGTAGTAGCACATACTTCAGTATAGGTTAACAGAGAATGCAACAGGTTTCAGTAGCTCCCTTCTATATTTCTATAATAGGACTTTACTAGCTGCTATGCAGATTTGCTGTTATGGTGTGTGACAGAAAAAATAATAATGAGAAACTTAATTAACGCAACAGTGAAACTTGTGGCTGTGCAAACTCTGTTACAGACCAAAATCAGCAACCTAGAAATCAAGTAGCAATTTGCCAAGAAGTAATCACAGATCATGGTACTATTTTTATACATATTTTTATTGTAAACTTATTTTGAGGGACATTCTAAATCATTATTTTTTTATTTTTTTATTTTTTTTAACAAATTATAAAGTTTACAATTAGAAAAAAAAATCAGGATCACAACAATTAACTACAGCAAATCCAGTTTTGTGAAAAAATATATTCAAAAATTAAATATAAAAAGAAAGTTAAGTTCATTATTGAAAAAAAAAAAAAGCTTTCATAAATTATTTTGCAGAAATGCTCAAGACACTGACGAAGTATTTTTACACTTATCCTAGTACTGGCTTTGGGTGCTTGAAATATAAACATCTGCTCTACTAATCCTGTAAAGCAACTGAGCAGCAGCCTTCCTGCTGACTACCCCAGGAACAGCAGGAGGTGCAGACAGATTCACTGCTTGCACCTCGATGGATTTTAGGTGTCTGCTGCTGGGGGATGTGCAGCTACTTACTGCCTTTCAAGATATTTCAGTAGCTTAGTAATAGTCAGTTCTTACATCACAATTTGGTTTTTCTTCTCAAATAATACAGTTCAGAGTAAAATTTGTTTATTCAGATCCTTTTGCTGCTTTCATTTTTCTACAATTTTAACACAAAAGAATGGAGCAGACCTAAAAAGTAGCAGTAATTCTCATCTCCTGGCACCGACCTGGAGGTTAATCAGGCCTGTTTGGGGAAAACCAAAAGCATATTTTAATCTTGCTGTAGCTTTATTGGATGAAGAAAAACCACACCCACCTCTGCAATTTAAGTAAAGATTATGCAGGAGGACTGTGGCAGGACGTGGGGCTCTCTGCCTCAGCCCCCTGATATGAGTGTGGGGTGCAAATCCTTTTTCCCCACGAGATAAACACACCCTTAGCTTAAGACAAGGCAGGTCTCAGACCTGGTCTGCATTTTTATTTCCCTAGAGGAGGAGACACAGTAACCAGATCTGCAGCCAGCTCTTCCCCTTTGGACCTGCTCTTCCAGAAAAGCACTGCCTGCTTCATTTGTTTATCCCCTGTTGCCCAAATGCTGCCAGGGGAAAATTGCACTCACTGTTTTCTTAAGGTGTGCAGCTTAACTCTTTCCCCTGTAGCAAGGTGACTGGACAGTGTCACTGTCTCTATTCTAGAAGTATATTAGACCCTCCTAAATAGCATCTGGAAGGTACACAGAGCAAATCATTCATGTTAAAAGTAACAGCAGCGTTGCTAATAAATAAATCAAAGTGACAGCAAGCTCCCTGAAGTGATGTTAGGTAGTTTCTGTACTTATCAGTACTGTCCTCTCCAACTCCTTCCCAAGTCACAGCTGGGGTGGGATCACCGCACGCTCTTTCACCTTTTCCTAAATATTCAAGGAAAAGTGACCTTACATATGAAATATTGTCTGACATTCTAATGGTTTCCTTTGTTCTGTTTTTTCAAAATTTTCATTGTTCACCTTACATAAACAGTTTCACACACGCAGACCTGATCAGTATTTTGTCTCTTCCCTTTGCTTAGAATTACAGAAGAAATTAACTGCAGTTTGAAAAAAAATAATAATCTGAGAGCAAAAAGAGTGTAACAGGAGAGCATTCTCTTCCAGTGGCAATTAGATTTGGTGTGCAGATTCACACGCTGCTTATTAATAGCATTTTGGAGATTAAAAAGCAGTCACTATATTCTAAATATTTCTTGCTGATACTTGTAATAATCACTGTGGAAGCCTGTCGCTTTGAGACCTTATTTGGCCTGCTCTGCTGCAGTTCTTTCTGCAGGCTTTACCACATTGTGCTAGAGGAAAAAAATAGCGCAGTCATCAGCTAAAACAGTAACAAAGGAAGTAAAGCCACAAAATTAATATCCCTTTTTATAGCAAAAGTAGAAAATGAATGCTGAGCTACAACCCAAAAAATAGTTTTAAAGTTCAATATATTGTTTATTTAATTTCCACTCTTCTGTATCAATGAGCCCAAACCTGGCTGTCCACAAGGATACAAGTCTGGAAACAACTCCCTTGCCCCTCTTCAGACAAGCAAGGATCATCTAATGTTCAAATGTTGAATCTCTTACTAAGGACTGTTGTGTGGTCATGCTACGTAATGTCAGCTCTTGACTCAATACAGTCTGCTCTGTGTGGATGGCAGATAGTATAGCTAGGAACAGATGGGGAAAAAGTCCAGCAGGCTCACTTCAGTACTGTTGTCAAGTGTGATCACAGAAGTGATCAGGTTTTATACGCATAAACATTCTAATTTCACAGAAGGTAGTTCTGCAACTGGTCACTCAGTCTTAAAAAGGCACTTAACATATTCCTATGTTTTACTCTAATCTTAGGAAAAGATTTTAGTGTCTACTACAGCATAGTGGTACTTAACTCTGGTCCCATTATGGAAGGACAGCAGCAGCTCTGGGAATTATATTCCATCAGTCAGTCACCAGCCTTGAATTTACAGAAGGAGCACAGGCACATGTTTTTTTGAAATAAGTTCTTAATACTGTGGATTGTTCCTCACCCATAGACATTCTCACTTACCTGCGTGGTGGGGTTTATATTGACTGCAAGGCAGTGACAGTTACTGCAGATGAGCCCTTGGATGACTGCGGGACAGAGGCAGTCAGTAAGGCTGGCAGTGTCACATGGCCCTACCACCTCACATATTGACCTGCAGTACTGCATTCTGCTAGTGGTTCTAAATATCCTCTCTCTGCTGTGCCACAGACACCATTTCTCCTCCAGCAGCTCCTCCAGGATGCTTTTTCTCCCTGGGCTTCACTGCCCTTGCTCACAGACCAATTTTTTACAAAGCTTTTATGGAATGAGCTGTAATAACTTAACCAAGCTCTTTCAAGCAGTTGAATATTACCAAGTTAACAGAAGGCAGTTACCTGTGTCCTGTGAAGGAGCTTAAAGAAGAAAAGATCTGTCCTATAAAAAAAAACAACAACACATTTCAAGACCTAAGACAGAAAACTGCAGCAGTTCCATGATTGTTAAAGGATGACTTGTGACCCTAGTTCTTATATCAGCCTCTCTGTTGGTGGCAGCTTGATTACGTTCCACAATTCCACTCGAGCACCATCCTTTTCTTGCCGGCTTGGACTGTATCTTCCCTGAGTTGCTCGCCTTCTCTTCATGGCAATCACCGTGGCTGCACCAACTGCAAGGAGAAGGGCAGTCCCCGCAGCCCCAGCTGCTCCCACAACAGAGGAGTTGCTAAGATGTGCCCACAAAGGCTGCTGTGGTAAAAGAGGGTGTTACTGAGAGCTCCCATGGGGACAGGCTACATTTCATATCCCTCATCCCAGACCCCATAACCTCTCTCCAAGCTACCATCACAGTGACAACAGCAGTGTGTGACTGGAACTTCCCCCTTTCACTGGCTGATAACCAGTCCCCTACAAATCCAAGCAACACAGAAGCGGTGTGGTGACTGCTCCCCACTTCCCCTGTTCACACAGGGGCCTAAGTTCAGACACTGCAGGTACTTCCAGCACTGGTTCACAAACCTGCAGAATTCCAGCTGTACCTCTGTTGCGTGGTACCCATGGGAATGTCTAACATTACTTCATAAACCAGTGGTTTCAGTAATTTGTGACAGTTCTCCATAACACTGTGTCCATCACAGGGCAGGAGGTCACAGCTGCTGTTGCTGTTGAAAACTGCTTTTTGAGAACAGATTTGAAAACCTCATATGCCTGAACTGAATACGCTTTCAGCACATTACGTTGTTGACCAAAATAGAACAGTATATATAAACCAGTCATAAATACCCTCTATTCAGTTCTTCTTACAAGTATATACAGATCTTTATCTGTAACTTAGTGTTAAATTAGGCACTACCTTTTAAAGCATATTTAAATATGCCATTGCTACGTGAGAAGTTTAATGGAGCCAGAGGGACTTCAAAGCTGGTGTGCTTCAACAGCTTCTACTGAGGTAAAAGTATGGAACAGCCCATGGGGCAGGAAAGAGGGAAGTGAAGAGGCTCACTGTGAGCCAGTGGTGTGCAGCTGACTCAATTAAATGGAACCAGCTGGAACAGCCACTACATATACAGACAGCCTTGTTCTTCTAAGTCCAGGTCTTCATTACCATGCCTTAAAGAAACTGAGATAAGAGTGGATCTGCTGCAAGTGCTGGAAAAAGATCAAGGTCAAAGCAGACCTTGCAGGTGTGTCTCCAGGGCAGTGCCTATATTAACCGCTCTTCGGGTGGCACCTTTAGGACACTGTCCATCTCCAGCCGAGCTCCTGCCACTTCTTGCTGACTTGGGCTGTAGGTTCCCTCTGATTGGCGCCTCTTCCTTGCAGTGATAATCATGAATATGAGACCAATACTGAGCAGCAGTAAAGAGCCACAGGCTACAGGGACAGCTACTTCAATTAGTGGGGAGGGGAAGAAAGCACCTGGAGTCCCTTTCTGTAAAAGAAATTAATGGAGAAACAATGAAACCCCAGTGGTTACAATAAACCTGTCCAACAGCTCAGAATGGTCAGAATAGAGGGGAAAAAAAAGACAGTTGATCTGTACCCTAATGGAAAAGGACAGGAACAGGGCTTGAGGGCATCTGCACAGAGAATGCTTATGTTCATTCTTCAATCTCTCAGCAAAATATATGCTTTTTAATGGATTACTTCTGATATAGAGAAAGCTACCAACAGCTTCTGAAATTTTCCTCTAATTCATAAGTGGTGATACTCCTCAGAAATATTCTCCAATTTCACCAAAGCTGTTAGGACAGTTATAAACACAGATGTACTGATGGAACAGTTAAGTCAGTCAATGTTCAGAATGACCACAACAAAAGAAAAGTTTGCTGCCCAGCATAGTAAATCCTAGCTGACATGGGGACAGCAAAACTAAATGCAGTTTATGAGACTAATCTTGAAGCTACACAATTGCTACAAAGAAAAGCTGTCCATTGCACACAGCTTGCTAATGAAGATAACTACTGCTGTTCTAACTGCAACAAATGGCTAAGAGTCTGCCCGACACTTCAGACAGCATTAGATTAGCTGAAACTATCCAAATAATATCACGCTCCCTATTCTCTTCTTTCTATATGGTTTTTCACAGCAGGAAAAGATTCAAATCAAAGTGGGAATCTTAAGAAGCCTCTTTGCTGTTATAAGACTAAAATATGTAGGTGTCACCAGTATGATCTAACTAGCAGTTCAAAAAATTAACACTGTAAAGTTAAACCAGACAAACATGAATTTTTCAGTAACACTACAATTTCCATGAGTAGGGGAATGGTATTAAAAAAAGTTCAGTGATGGCTCTGATGCAGTGTGGAGCATTCATTCAGTGGTTACGGAAACAAGGACAGGTGTAGCCACCTTGATGAGCTTTATGACATCTGAGAGCAAAAGATTTTAAATAATATAAATACTGAATGGTGAGCTCAAAACTTTTAAGTTAGAAAGACATACTTTAATGTCCACTCTATGTAAAAATACAATGAAACAGACAGCTTGCAGCAGGAAGGGAGATGTTAAGTCAGTACGTGGATGGGAGATGGAGAAGATAAAAGGCTCAAGTACAGAGCGCAGAAACAGTCAAATGAGTATCTTGATACTGGTGGAATTAAGGTGACAGGGAACAGCAACAACGAAGAATTTTTATTAAACGTGGAATTTTATCATTAAAAGAAACCTTTAATAATAAGCCTAAAAACAAGAAATACTTCTCTTTGTTAAAAATACTATCTGCCAAGAATCCAAGCTCGAATATTTACTGCTTTTGGATGCCAGTCTCTGCCCACGTCACAGAGCAGTACACAACAGGACTATTCCCAGATTACCTGGAAGCCCTTCTTCCATTTTTAAATGACTGAAGTTTAAATTGATTTTGAGAATACCGAAACTCAAGCCATGCACTAGCAATTAGTTCTAGCTTTGCACAAGCATGCAGATTAGTTGCACTTTACCAATGTTGCAGGAGTTTTTAGCAGCCTACCCTACTGCCTGTTGCATGCTCCTTATTTGCTACTGTTGGGGGGAAGGAGAAAGAGCAGGAGAATGCAGCTAAGGCCTTTGCTTCTACAGCTGCCAATAACAACATACATGCCAGTTAGCTATAGCCTGTCTGTCCTCCCTGAGCCCACCACAGGCACCATCCTTTGAAGAGGGAAAAGGCTCTGCAGAAAGCAGAGGCTGTGATGAAAATGAACCCAGGGAATCTTCAAGAAGTGTCCAGGCAGCGAAGAGACAGATACCTGAAGGAGTCTATGCATGCAAACTGGAAACGTCAGGAGTGACCTTACAGCGCATGCATTATGTAGGCCTTGGTAACAGCAACAGCAGCAGACTCCACCTTGGTGCACAGCCTATTCCATGCAGTATGGGTTAGTACATTCCCAGGTTACCAGACAAACTATCTGTCCATGCAACAGCTTTACAGAAAAAAAAGCAAGTGTACAATGTAACAGCTTCAGACAGGAAAGATTCCAGGCCCAAACAGCAATGCTTTGCTTATGCAGAAACAGAAAAGCATCACAGAAACTGCCCATCCAGGCAGAAGTAGACACAGCAGATAGAAGCATGCTACTACTTCTCTTTTATCACATTCAGCTTGATTTTATCTGACTGTCATCTCCAAACAAATTTCCACCCAGATGATCTTTGGAGAGAGAAGCTACTTTGTAATTAAGCTCATCCAAAACAAAATGCCAGCTTAAATTCCATTCTCCAAGATACTGTGGGAGGGAGAGCAAGTGGTGAATAGAAGAGGGCAGAGTAAAAAAAAAATAAAGACACTATCTTACTGTTTGGTGCATTACACATATCTCTATCACACTGTGTGAACTCAGCTGGATCAACCATTCCTGGTTTTCCTGCCATTTTATACTGTCCAATGGCTTCCTACTTAATGTAAATGGGGGAAGTTTTTATTCACTGTCAACTTGTCCTCCATATTCTTGCTTCTTTTTACTGCCTTATTTACACTACTGAAGGTGAAAACAGCCTTAGCACTCTACAAGCATTACATTTGCTGCTGGTCATTTCCAGCTTTGGATCAAGTTTTTCTTCACTGTTCTTATTTGAAAAGGATATAACTAGAATATCTAATTTGCTTTTTGTACCACCACTACACACATTTCATGTTTCTCTGGTGCCAAGCATGCTTACCAATGTGCTTTAGCCAAGACACACACAACACACAGAAAGTTTCACTAATACCCTGGTACCCAAGGATTCTACTAATTATGCTTCTCATAATTCAAAGTTTGGAAGAACAGAGAGGAGCTTCCAAAAGCAAAAGGAAGGAAGTGCTTACGTTGATGTCACAGCGCTCTCCAGCGTAGCTGGCACTGCACAAGCACTTGAATTTGTTCTCAGAGTCTTGACAGGTACCTCCATTCTGGCAAGGGTTTGGATCACATTCGTTTATATTAATTTGACAACTGGAAAGGAAAAGCTATTAGAGTTAAATGAAATTTCTCACATACATTGTTGTGTCATAGAACACAAGATCAAACAACCTACAAAAACCTCATTTATCTGAGAACTTTATGTTACATCTTTTTAAAGTGCTTTCTCCAGGGTCCAGCAGTGTGGAAATTTTACACATAGTAATCCTCTACTTGTCATTTCTGTATGATTGAAGCCAGTATGATTCTCTAGCACAGTTAATTAATCCTCATGAGGCAAAAAAAAATACTTGGAGGTGGTGCATGCTGTGAAAATTGATACTATTAACAGTATAATATCAAGCCCACCTATTCTAAAAATAAATGGTATAGTTTGGAGGAGTTGTTTGAATGGCAAAAGGATATATAAGAGGATGAAGCATTTGAACCTGTTCAGCTATCCCACAGATGTAAAAATCAGAGCACAAGCTCCGTTGCAGGCATCAGAAAGATAACACTTACTTCCTTCCAGTGAAACCTGGCTTGCAAGTGCAGTTGGCTCCCCAGGTCTCAGTGATGCACTTGCCACCATTCAGACAGGTGAAGTTCTTACCACACTGTTCAGGTGGGAACGGCCATCTGGGAAAAGCAGAAGATCGCCTTTAAAGCCATCAGTTGTGAGAAAGATAAAAGCATACTCAGATACAGTGGAGTCTGAGCTGGCAAGGGTCATAAGCACAGTCATTGGTTTTTCCAGGAGGGGCTTTGAGAAAGAAAAAGCCTCAGAAATTTTCCATAGTAACCAAGTATTACTTTAAGCATCCCCCAAAAAGGAGTTTGTACTGCTCACAGAATATGTGATAGCAGTGTCATCAGTACTGGCACTCTCCTCATAGTTGCCTATTCTTGCTGAAGAAAATAGAAGTAGTGGCAGGATATTGTTGGAATACCAAACTGCACCACAGCTAGGTCACAAAAAGAAAGGTGCAAGCACTAGATAATTATCTGCAGCAGAAATGGAGTAAACAACAGGAAATTCAACCTGGCTGGATTTGAGAACTAAAGTTCAATCATTTAAATATTTATCTCAATATTCAGTTTAAACAGCACAAGTAGATGGAAGTCCAAATAATTCGTTGATTCCTACTTCCTTTACTGATATGAAGCATATCTTTGTAACTAAAATATGCTGGAATTTTTCCAAACCAATGCAAATACTATAAATATTAACCTTATTAAAAAAATTCCCCAAGTCCCCAAAGGAAAAATCCTATTTATATGGGGGCTTCTCTATCCCAATTCAAACCAGGCAAGATACCCACTCGCAGCGAGGTCCTGAATACTGCGCTGGGCACTTGCAGGAGTAGCCATAAACCCCATCAACACAGGTAGCTCCATTTTGGCACTGGTGCCGCACACAGTCATCCACATTGATGTCACATTTCTTTCCAATGTATCCCCGGAAGCAGTCACACTGAAAATCTGCTAGTCTATCGGTGCAGTTCCCATGAACACATGGGCTTGACTGGCAGTCATCAATATTGGACTCGCAGAGCAGCCCCTCCCAGCCAGCACTGCAGGCACAGCTGAAGGAGTTGAACAAGTCCTCACAGATGCCAGCATTGCTGCAAGGACTAGAAGCACAAACATCAGCCCCCGTGCAGCCTAACTGGACAGTTCTTCTGCTGGACTGCTGGAACTGTTCTGGCTGAGGATATGAGAGATGGGAGGTGAATGGCAGGTAGATCCCTCCTATCTTCACTTGTCCTAGGCAGCCTGTGAAGTTTTCAGCTAGAACAATCAGTGCATTGTTCTTTAAGAAGTCCAGGTTCCCAGCATTTCCCTGCAAAGTCATATTAACAGACCCATCCAAGTGAGCCACCCATCTGGAAGACAGTGCAGAAGGCTCCTCCATTGACACAGAGATTGTGTGCCAGGCGCCATCCGTGACAGCATTCTGACTCAGGAAGCTGACACCTTCAATATTATTCCCGCTCCTGATGTCAACAAGCAAAGAGGAGTTCTTAATAGCTATCTGCAGGGAGTCCACTTCTTCCATAGCCCGAAGCAAAACAGCGTCTTTGTCTCTGGTTCTGAAATCCATGAGGAGGCTGCCCAGAGTTCTGGTCACAGATGCATTGGTGGTAAATTCAATGGCAGCAGAACTATTAAATGTTGCATTAGCCAAACCTATAAATAAAGGAATAGTGCATCAAGGGTTTGAAAGACAGTAGGTGTAACATTTGCAGCAGACCAATGCAAGTTTCCTGGCAAGTTTCATCCCTTAAGAATCATGTAAGCTTAGTGTGAGTAGGATTAGAAGCTCAGTGGCTGGCATCATTAAAGCTCTTCCTGTTTACAGTTACACTTCTAATAATAATATCTAGCTCTTATCTGGCAATTTTTACTCATTAATTTCACAGCACTACACACAAATAAAACTATCACCTTTTTCTTACAGAAAAACTAGGATGTAAGTCAGGTAAGCAACACATACAAAGCTGCTGAAAATAGGCCAACATCCTGAGTTCCTGGACTCTTTGTAGCCACTAAGAACATTCCCTCCAAAGCAAGAAATCATAAACTAACAAGTTTTCTTCATTCTCTTTGGTTTCTCTTTGGTTCTGTTTGGTTGAAAACACATTAATTGTCTTAGTGAAATAACGTGAGACTCTTGGAATAGATGAACATTAGAGAAAAAAGATAGCCCTTGCACTGCAATGTTGATAAGGCAGGCAATCACTCTCTAACAGAGGGCAGGCTCCTCCCTGATCAAGCATCAGTAACAAAAGAAAACATCTTTGAGTGCCACCTTCACTCTATTGCATACTGGTGGTAAATCCATAAAGTACATGCTGCCTGTAACTACATACTTTGCCACCATTCTTAGCTTGCTAATTGCAGCGTGTGTTTATATTTATCACAACAGTGAGAACTGGTAATACTGGTTGGAGACCCTGAGGACTTTACCAATGCATAAGCAGAATAACAGTACTCACACACATATCCTGCTGGAACATCTATACAGGTAGTAGCTTCAGGACATGGGTCACTTTCACACCAGACTCTCTCTTCACAAAACTTCCCAGTGAAATTTGCTGGACAGCTGCAATGGAAGTCATTCCAAGTGACAACACATGTGCCACCATTCTGACATGGTTCAGACTGTAAGGCAAAATAGCACAATTTAGGAGCAGTATAATTCATCTTTAGATCTAAGAGAACCTGGTGGAAGGAAATGTGACTGTGTTTAAGTTGAGAAAGGGTAATTAAAATAGTGAATCAACAGCAGCAAAGGAAGTACAAGAAACTTTATGCAGGCATGTCCTGAGACCCCCACCCCTCCCTACATACAGGGCTGATTGACAAGATCTCTCCAGGTAGAACTCCATCAGTTCAGAAAAGAACAGCTGGCAGCACATCTCCAAGGACACTGTACTTCAGAGAGCATCTCATCCACACAGCTACTGGTCTGCAGCACGTTGACCTTCAAGCTATTGCAAATTCTACATATTCAGACGCATACATGTACAGCAGTCATGGTTTGGACACCAGCCTAAAGCTGTCTGTGAAAAATGCGGTTATTCTAAGCATATCGCTCCAAACAGTACAATGTTACTGATGATGGGGAGAAGGAAATGTCCTTCTTTGCTATTATTTTTGTTGTTATGGCCTCTGATATTAATCATCTACCAGCCTGCTATTCTTCAGGTGGGCTTTCTGGTTCTTTTTATGTGTGTGTATTCAAATCAAGGCAAAAAGCTGCCAAAATTAGTAACATAACAGGGCAGGAGTTTTTCCCACAGTTTAATTCTAGAGACGTCTGTAGCTCTCAGATTTGAAAAGTTATATGAAAAGTTAAAAAAAGGGCAAAGGGAGATAAGAATTACATCACAGGAGTGAGGCCTAAGAGTGCAGGCATCCTGTTCTGTTTCCCTGGTACCAGCAACAGTCAAACTGTTCTTCAATCACACATCTATAATAAACAACTGCATGCATGCAGAGAGAAACAAGACCTCCTACCTTGCAGGTGTTATCAGAGATGCATCCATTCACCAGATTAATATTTTGAGTCCTATTAAGTTCATCTGGCAGACTGTAGTTCTCAACCTGAAAAAACTCTATTTTGTGGCCATTCAGTTGGATGTCTTGCAAGCAGCCTTTAAAATACCCTCCCCACAGGCCAGTGCTTTCTGGGTCAGGACGTCCACCAATGTACACTTCATAGCCAGTTAAAAGAGGCCTTCCTACCAGGTGTCCCAGCTCCACATACGTGTCTGGTTGGTGAACACCAACAATTCCTCCTTGGAAAGACAGAGCTACCAAATGTCTTCTCCCATCAACTAAATTTTCCGGAAATGTCACAGTATCTGTAGATAACATCTCAATCTTCAGCTTGCCCTTCTTCAAGTATATAGTGAGGCAGGGGTCTGTTTCATTGCTGATTTGCAATAGTAAACCATTCGGTTTCAGACTACGAATGAAAAAGGAGATGTTGAAGTCTGCACCAAGGCTATCAGAAAGGATGAAAGAGGAAAAGCTAGTAGAATTCTCTAGGCCAAATGTTACTGCTGGGTGTTCTGGAAGAGAAATGAAATGTACATCAGCTTTCTAACAAGGCAACAGCAGAGCAACTTTATACAAAAAAAGGACAAAAAAAAATCTTATGGGAATAAAAAAGGCAAATAAGTATAATTTTAACTCAGAAATGCCAAGGAACTTCCTTTAACACTTTCTATTTTGTTTATAAAGCGATACATTCTCATTCACTTGAAGCTCAAGCTCAGCTTCTCACAGTAAAGCAACTTCCCTCCTCTCCTACAGCTATTTAGATCTGATACAAAGATGAGTCAGAGCCTCTGGTTCAACAAGGAGTAACATCTGTACCACAAATCTGGTTATCATTTCTGCAGGAGCGAGTGACAGGGAATCAATAAGAATTTTCTTTATAGAGAGTTTTGTTTTATTCTTCTTTCTGGTCAAATAGAAAATATTGCTTCTGGAGGTACTGTAAATGTTTATGTAGTATCTTTGAAGCACTGACAAAGGAGCTGGTAGGTGTAAATCACATGGCACTTACCATATGAGCAAGCAGGGCCTCCATATGGCCTCAAACAGTCACACCTGAACGTTGTCCAAAGGTCCACACACAGCCCGCCATGAAAGCAGGGCTTGGAGAGGCACCACTCAGTGCGGTCACAACCCTGTGTCACAGGTGAAACCTCGCTCACAGGGAGAGCCACCGGGAGCACAGCTTCAGCATCCACCTGCAAGTCTTCCAGGCAGCCAACAAAGCCCTGCTGACTCTGTGTGTTGTTGGCCAGTGGATCCTCAGCACCTCCAATATACATGCTCAGGAAGGCATGTGGGATCGGAGTAGCGTTGTGTGGGACAGGAGAGCTCTGCACGCAGATACCTGCATCACAAGAGTCGTGCCAGAGTTTGAGCTGCACAGTGTTCTGCAGAACAACTTCAACTTTATGCCAGTGGCCATCATCAACTCTCAGCCCCTCCAGCCGCAGCAGGTACTCATCCTGCCTCTTCAGTTCTGCATGCAGAATGCCATCAAAGAGCTCCAGGAACAAGTATTCAGCTTCATGGCCTCGGTAAAAAAGGATGGCGCTGGGCAAGGTGGTTCGGAACCGGAGGGACACACTGGCAAGCTGCTCTCCTGCTACCTCCCTCCTGCTCTGATTGTTCACGGGCAGCTCAATGAGGAGATACCCTCTGGAAGCAAAGGAAAATGTTGTTGGTGTTGAGCATGTGGCATCATAGAAACCAGGCTGGCACTGGCACAGGTGGCCGTGGCTCTCAGCTTGGTAAGTCGGGATACACAAGGCCTCATTTTGGCAGTCATGTGTCTGGCACCCAGTGAGCTTGACAGAGCAGTTCTTCCCTCCCCAGACAATGCCATCCTGGCTAGGGGCACAGTGGCAGGTATAGTCAGCAATGCCATCCTCACAGACAGCTCCATTCTTGCAGGGACCCTCCTCACACTCATTGATGTTAACAGCACATTCCACACCTGCGAAAGAGATTTAGAAATGGGATCTCATTGCAGGGGATTGCAATTCCCTTCCCCAGAGCCGCCTGCTAGGCACAGTGAACTCCACAGCACTGCTGTTCTCTAAGCCATTCACTTCAGGAAAGCACAGGAAGCCCAAGAGCTGCCAGCAAGAAGCCCTGCACTCAACACACAGTGGCCTACATCTAACATAAAAGCAACAGAAGATATTTCTGTGCGGTCTGTCCAGATGCTGCAAAGAGTGCTGTTTGTAGAGCTTCAGCCAGTCACTGTGTCATCCAACAGACTCCCCTGTCCTCTCCCAGACAATCTCAGACAACACAGCTAATAAGCATGCAGGGAGAGCAAGCAGAGGATATTAAAGGGACAAGACAGCCCCGACAAGGATTTTATGCATCTTCCATACATAGGTTTGGTGCATTTAAACTCAAGTCTATACATCTGACTGGAGATGTTCCAAACACCATTGTTGGGGCATCTAACTAGATCACCAGCCAGGAACTTACTGGAAAGCCACAGTTAAGAAAATTAAAATTCCATAGTTTGGAAAACAATACCAGACAACCCTCCTGTTGTAAAACATTCACAAAACCCAGTTCGTTACAAAACAAGAAGCAATACATGCTCCACAGGTATTTTGTCATATTGCACTAAGATGATTTCAGTTCTTTCCAGTCCTGCAGAAGTGAACTGGGTGAAGAGTACTGTGTGGCAGTTAGTGTATCTCCTCAAGGCACATGCATCCCAACAGGGTTCAATGAAATTACAGACCATTACACTCAAATCTAGTTAATGAAAATCAGCTGTCATTTTCCTGAGCATCTTCAGACTGACATTAGAGCCCTCCTGAACCAGTTCACTGTTTATCTAGCCCATAACACTGGTTTTCACTAATCTTCAGAGACAGTCGCACAGATAAGCCAAGCATGGATTATCCTGATCTAATAGCATTACACACAAATTCTACCTAGCAAGCACAACGAGGACAGTAGAAAGAAAAAGAAGGAATTCACACACAAAGGAGGGGAATCAAAACACAAAAGACATTTGTAAAGAAAAGCCACTAGACAGAATAGGCATGTCAAAGAGATTAGAGAGTTGCCTGAGGGAAAAAGGGCTGAGGGGAGATGGTGTGTTAGGAGTACTGGAACTGGACTTGATGGCATGATAAAAAAAAAAAATTAACAAAGATATGAAGCTTCTTGAATTCGTGTGCTGATGTTGTGAACTGCCTCACATTCCAGCAATGCCTTGCAGCCAGTCTTGCACAAACATCTGGTACTGCTGTCTAACCAAGTTACTTTACTCTTTTGAGACCAAGCATTTAGCTGCTGTTGACAGTGCTATCTGCAGATATGTGAAGACTCAACACCATCTTCCAGTTCCAATATAAGGCCATAACACATACGTGCTCTTAGAAGTGCTGAAACAGAAACAGGAGGTTCTGGTAATTCTGCTCTGCCAGCAACATTATCTCAGATCCCTCTAGGACACAACTATACTTTTCTTAAATTAAAGGAGAACTGTTCTGTGTAGTGCATCTAGAAAGGCATTGAATTTGGCCAGTAACGTCTGCCTTGAAGAAAAGCCCAGCTGATGGACAGATTCAGAATAGCTAATACTACCTCAGCCCTTCCTTTCTTCTCCAGCAATTAATGCTCGGCACACAGACCCTGGGGCAGGATTGTAAGTGTTAAGGAAATGGAGGAAGCGAGGGCAGAAATGAGATTTTGGCACAAAGCTCTGACCACACTTGAAAGAAAAGTGCTGGAATAAATAAAACATAATAGGTGTCGTTAGGCCTGGAGAACCCTAGTGTGGGAGAAGATGGGAAGAATTAAGAAAACACCTGGAGTGGGTTTTCTGACTTATCAGTGGATTGAAGGGCCTTCAGAACAGTAAGAGGCAAGTTTACAGTAGGAGTTCAGGGGAGAGGCCATTGAATGGCATTGGGAAGATACTTAGGGTCAGCATAGTCCCAAGCGTTTGAGATGCCATCCCTTTTGCCATCAGAGCAGTCACATTTATTTACTAGGGCAACAAGGAGAAAATAGCATTGTTCTGAATAACAAATGGAGACAGGTCATGAATTTGTTTCCAAGATGTCTGGCTGGGCCAGCAGCAAACAACAGCCCCATTTTCCTATCCTTCTCTCCCTCCTAGCCTGCACACATCCCCTCTGGCCAGCACTCTCCCTAGGAGCAGCAGCAGGAACACCTGCCTGTGCTGCTGTTTCCCAGCTCCCAGCTGACACCTGTGGGTGAGTGCTTCACACCAGGTGGCAAATTAGTCCCTATGGTGAGTGCACAACCCCAGGCTGGTGGCTAATTAAACACCAAGCTTTCCCATGGGACACAGCTGGTGTGATTTCTATATCATTTATTTAAAATGGGTGAAAAAGAACGAGCTGGCAACTTCAAGTCTTTATATGCTGCTGTCTAACCTCACAAGCAAATGCTCAGGAGCAGGGCAGTTCTTCCTAGAGGAATTAAAAACAAGCTTCATTTCTATTGCCCTCTCATTGTTTCTGCCAGCAAACAGCCAGCCTTCACATGGCTAAGGCAGAAAGAAAGGATCTCTAAAACAACAAGAGGTTCCTTGCCCTCCTAGAAGCCAGTGCAGTATCAGATTTGAGTCTGAAGCAGTTTTTAGAACTGGTAACTGTGCCAGAGTTGTAAAAATCTAGCAACAGTTTTTTTCAGCCAGCATGACCTCTTGCTTAGCAGTTAGCCCTGTTCTACATCACTGCTCCTTATACAGCTTGCAATAATCACACCCTTCATCAGGCAGCTGGCCTCCCTCTCTCCTTCATTATCACCAATGATTTTTGTCAACTATGAACATCTTCCATTTGTCAAATTCTTACTTACGCCAAAATAAAATAGGAGATTTCTATTGAATATTGCTTCCTAGATGCTAATTTTAGCTCAGCAGAGAAGTAGTTATTCGGGGTTTGGCTGCAGATCACAGAGCGTAAACAAAGCTAGAGATTTCAGGAAAGTAAAAAAGTTTGTCTTCAGAAAAAACAAGATTTTTTGTTTCGGCCACTGCAGTTCCCAGAAGTGCAGATCATTTCATGATATCCACTGCTCTATAATTTAAAAGAAAACTAATTTGCTTCTCTAAGAAAAGCTTAGGCATCCTTTTCTAGGTATGCATTTAAAAGAAGTTACTGAGTCTCCTTTGCACCCTCTAAATTTCTAAGCTCAAGCATTTACTTTTGTTCTTACTGTTGGCAACATTGTTCGAATAAGCAACGTGATTCATTACATTATTAGATTTTAAAATGTGTACTGCGTTTCTCATATAGTTAAAGACTACGAAATGCAAATCAATAGAATTAATTATCTGAAAAAGTAGTGAAGTAGTATTTAAAAGGCTGCTATCCGAGGACAGTTATTTTCAAACATTCCCTTCCAATCCAAGCCTCTCTGTGATTCCAGATAATTCAGCAGTGTCCAGTGCACAGTCCCAGTAACACAGGGTCAGGAACATACAGTCAGAAGTTGCTAAGCTCTTAACAGTCTGCATCGTTTTCAAACAGAAATTCATTCACTAAATTCTGAAGTGTTACTGATGTGATAAGAACTGTCTTGTTTCATAGTTGCATTACACGAATCCATACATTCAGCTTTTCTGAATGAAAGTAATGATTTCTAGCTGCTATTAATAGGCAAAGATTCATTGTACTATAAGAAAACATATATTAAAAAACACATGTAAAGAAAAAGATTCTAATTTAGCTGTCACATGCCAAAAAAACTTGAAGGATGAGATCTATTCATGGCCTCTTTTCCTGAAACATGCCAGTTCAGTGGGGCTTCCCAGCCAACGCTGGACGTCCTTTCCCCTTAAGACAGCTGAATTCCTAGCAACCTTTCCCTAGTGCATCCTAATTAGGATTTGTATTATTACCAAAAGAAAAATGGGGGGGAGGAAGGGAGGCGAAGGGAGAGATGGGGGGAGAGAGAGAGAGAGAATTAGCAGCAACAAACAGACCCGGCCACAATTATATTTGCACAATTACTGCCATTTCCATGGCAACACACTGCTTTGACCTCTCTCCCACCGTGCACTACTCCTCAAGGAGATGTGGGGGAGGAGAGGCAGAAGTGCACAGGCCAGCGAAGGGTTTGTCCCCTGAGCTAAAAAATTTACTTCTTGATAAAGGAGTTTTAAATCATTAAAGCAAAAAGGAAAATAGCAAAAAGATGCCATCAAAAGAAATCTAATGCTTCACAGAACTAACAGGAGACATTGACATGCTTACAAAGTACACCTGTGCACAGAAGGACCTGCGCCTCACAGCAACACCCCGGGTTGGATTTCTGCGGGCAGCTTTCAGAGCGAGGCAGAACTGCAGCAAAGATGCACACGGGGTGCACTGACTGCTCCACGTTTATCTTGAGGCAACTAGGAAATTCCTGGCCCTAAAGTTTCCAAAACAAAACTTCAGGTCTCTTCAAAATAAAAACATTCTTCCTTTCTAGTGAATTCTCGTCCTTCTCATGCCTCCAGCTACCATTAATCGCACAGCCAGCTCCCTGCCCTGAGCAGGCACGCAAACATTCAGGACACATTGCAATTACTGTATAGATCTCATTACCTGCTAGCAGAAAAATTCCCTTCAGGATCACGCCAATCAGCACAGATTTCATGGCCGACTCCTTGTGGACATTTGTGACAGTAAAGGAAAAAAAGTGGGGTGAGTGGGGGTGGGGAAGGGCAGAAAGGCTGAAGTGAACTGGCAGAATGTGTGTAAGCGCTCCCTGACGCCAGTCAGACAAAAAGGGATTGGAGATGGAACTAACCAATATAGCAGAGACCTGCGCTGCAGTGAGATCTAATCCAGCCCTGCTCTAAACCTCCCCAGCTGGCCTCTGTCAGTGCTGACACGAAGAATGCGTACTTGCAGTGCTCTCCCTCAGTGCATTACAGTAATACCCTGCAGTATCCACAGCATTAACTCCAGCAGCAGAAAGTCAAGACACAATCTCTTG